TCGAATAACTGTTGTATATATTCGTTTTTTTGCTGTTCTGGATATTATCTTCGACATCAGTATCTTAGTCAGGCTCCCAGCACTCTTACTACCTTTGGCCATTCTTTTTATGATTTCTTGGTTCTCTTGGTTCCTATTTGTTAGTGTCACTCCCAAGTAATCGAATTGGCTAACAACTTCAAAGTTATATTCTTTACTTGGGCTTTGTATCTTAAAGGACTGTCATAGCTGATTTTCGTTTCCCCTCATCACCATATATTTTGTTTTTTCTTCGTTTATTTCTAAACCATATTACCTGGCTATTCTCTCTATTCTAGTAAAGATTTCTCTTAATTCTGCAGGTCTCCTTGTTATTAAGGTAACATCATCTGCATATGCTACGCATTAATGCCTGTGATGCTATATTGTGCCTCTAGTGTAGATGTTACATTCTCGTAAAATCTTCTCTAAGATCAAATTGAAAAAATCTGTTGATAACGGGTCACCTTGTCGCAGACCTCTATTGCTGATAAAGCTATCCGAAACCCGTCCTTCTAACATGACTTTACTTTTAGTATCATTGAGTATGCATTTAGTCAGTCTTACAATTTTTAGTGGAAATTCAAAATATTCTAGTGCTTCATATATTTATTACTTTTTATAGTATCATATGCCTGTCTAAAATCAATAAACAGTATGTGTAATGTTAGGTTGAATTCATATGAGCTAGCTAAAATTTGTTTCATTGTAAAAATTTGGTCTGTTACCGATCTGTTTGCTCTGAAACCTGCTTGATATTCACCTAGACAATTTTCAACTTTTGTTTTAATTTTATTTCTAATTGATATGGCCAGAATCTTATACACTGTATCTTGTAGAGCTATTCCCCTGTAATTTTTAAATTCTGTAACGCTCCTTTTTATGCACTGGACATAAGATTGCTTCTTTCCACTGATTGTATATTTTTTCTTTGATCCACACTTCGCGTATTAACTCAGCGATTTCTTCTTACACCATTTCGCCACCTACTTTTAGAAACTCAGCAATGATACCATTTTCACCAGGTGCTTTTTTGTTTTTTAGTTTTTTATGATCTCTATAATTTCTTCCTTGGTAGGTACTTCTTCATTTACATCTGGGTCCCTTACTTCTTCATGTTGTAGTTACGTATGTTCTCTTTCATCTTGGTCGTCCGTACATAATATGTTCTCGAAATAGTTGGCTCAATTTATTAATTTTTCATCTGTTCCACCTAACAGATTCCCCTCTTCATCTTTATAATATCTTGATGTGGTTTTGTACTGGGTTCGGTCTCGTTTTATTTCTTGGTAGAAATTTCTGACTTGTTTATGTAAAAAATCTTCTTCAATATGAACTAGTTTCTGCTCTAAAATTGATTTCTTCTTCCTTCTACAGATCTTCTTTGTTTCCCGTCTTTTTGCTGCATAAGGATTTTTACTCTCTTCAATATTTCTTATTATGCTATTTATTCTAGCTTTATTTCGGTCACTAATGGCTTTCTTACAATCCCTATCATACCAATCCGTTTGTTTACATTGTCTGTTTCTTGATAATACTGAGTCGGCTGCTTCTTGAATTTTTTCTTCTAGTTCTACCCGTCTGCTTTCTATATCATTTACTGTTGTCTCGGTTTTCAGTTTCTCTTCAATTTGCTGCCTGAATTTTTTCTTAACATCTCCCTCCTGAAGTAGTGCACCGTTATATTTTTTATTTTTTTACAGCTAGTGTTATTAATTGTGGGTATTATTTGCTTAATTTTAACTTTGACCAAAAAGTGGTCCGAATTTTCATCAGCACCTCTGTAACTTCGGCTATCTTTTATGGCTCTCATATGTTTGGCTTCTATTAGTAAATGGTCTATTTGGTTTACAGTTTGTTCATCTGGTAATACCCAGGTACCTTTACGAATTTCTTTGTGATCAAAATAAGTGCTAATCATTCGCATATTATGTTCGAAAGCAAATTCTATTACTATTTTTCCATTCAGATTACTGTCTCTATGATTACATTTTCCCCCTGTTATTTGTTTGTATACATCTTCCCTGCCAATCTTGGCATTTAAATCTCCTATAATTATTTTTATGTCATATGATGGTATTTTGTAAAACATATGTTCTAATTGTTCATAAAAGCTATCTTTAACGTCTTCATCTGTATTTTCTGTTGGTGCATGCACATTTATAGGGGTTATTTTTCTATATTTACCTCTTATTCTTATTTTACATATTCTGCTTGTGACTGCCTCAAAATCTATCACCAGATTGGCAAGTGTTTTCTTTATAAAAAATCCCACCCCAAACACACGTTCATTGTCTCCACTGTTAAAAAACACGTAGTTTTCCACATCCATGGTGAAATTTCCTTTTTGTTTAGTTTCTTGTATAACTGCAATATCTATCTCATATTTCTCTAACGTATCTGATAAGTTCTTTAGTGCCCCTACTTCAAAAGTCCCTCTAACATTCCATTGTCCTATCATCATCCTATTCCGCGCTTTATTCGTTTCCACATTTTCTAGTATTATTTTAAATGTGATTCAGGCTGGATCAAGTGCCCATTAAAAATATCGATAAAAATAGTTATATATATATATATATATATATATTATATATATATATATATATATATATAACATTTAATATGGAATAAAATTCTTTGTGTCCTTATTTAAAAAAAAAAATGGAAAAATCGACGGGAATTGTTAACTTTAAATGTGCGCTTTTTAAACATAAATTTAAATGCACAGGGTAATTCATGCTGGTTTAACACAGTCGATAATCTTTATTTTTATTGAAACACCCTGTAGGTACCCTTTTATATTTTCAAAAGCTCCTTAATGACACATGATATTAACGAACTATATCAAGTAGGTTTTATTATGAATAATACAAGATAAAATTGTGAAATTTTAGTGTGAAAACCACTTATCGAATAAAACTGTTTGCATCCTTAGTTTAGAAAATTAAAAAAACGCTGGGGCGCGCCAACCTTTAAATTCAAATGTTCGTTTTTTTAAAATAAATTTAACTGTACATTTTTTTATTTGAGCATAGTCCATTATATTTATTTTTAATAAAACGCCCAGTATATTTTTATATTTTTAAAAGCTACGTAACAATCTGATCTCAATGAACTATAATATGTAGGAAAAAAATGTAAAACCAACTTCGATATTTTTCGGGATATTGAAATAAAGAAGCAACTTATTTTTCAATCCAACTTGAAGTGCATTGTCTATATTAGAAAAGATTAGTGCTATTCGTCTTATAATAGAAAAATCGTCTTATAATATTAACATCGAAGGAAAATGCCAGTCGATCGAATGGTATTTGATTACTAAATTTCATAGAAAAACGATATCAAAATAACAAATAGAATAAGTAAGACCTATCAAGTACAGAATTTTTAAGATTGCTTAAGTTGCTCCATTTTATAGTCACTGTATGTTACTTTAACAAAAAAAAAAAAACGCAATATATAAATATTTAAAGACGGTTGCATTTCTGTTGAACTCTATTCTTACCATTCTCTATTCCCTACTATACGTACTTCGTGGTCTACCACTCATCAGAGCAACTTGTGAAGACTGAAGTACACTAGTACATGCTAACAGCGACCTTTACACGAGGAAACATAAAATCAGAAGACTTCTTATCGATGGCTATTCAAGTAAATTCAAAATTCAAGTTACTTGAAAAACCGTCGATGAGAAGTCTCTAAATTTATACTTTCACAAATTAAACTTTATTATTAAGCAGACAATGCGATCGTCCCAGCAAAATAAAACAATGCATATGGATGACAAGATCAGCGTTCATAACAGCTTTATAAAAATTGACTTCATTTTCGGCAAAATGCAAGAATTGCATTCAAAAGCTCTTTACATTTAATATGCATTTTGATTTTTGATAGGGTCCGCCGATCAAAGATATCGAATTTTTACTGTCGAGTTGATACAAATTGTATTTAAAATTTATTTTGCGTGCCTAACTGGCATTGAAAATCGCCAGTTGCTCCAAGAGTTATTTCTGAGAGAACGTGACTTCTACATAAGTGCCAATAAATAGTTTTCTGTTCATAATGATCTCAACTAGATTTTTTAGTTAAAACATATTTTATACGACGTGCAGATTTAATTTTTGTGTGGTAGTTTCATCCGGTGTATCTGAACAGGTCTCAGTTTTTAACAATACTTTGTTGTGGACAGATTATATTTTTAAGTAAAAGCTTTGTAAGTTTAATTCATTCTACTATTATGTTCGTTTAATTTTTTTATCAAATAAAACAATTATTTTGGGTACATATTAAAAAGTATCGCAATGAAATAATGAAGTTCTTGGTAATTTCATTGAAATTTATAAAAGTGAACCTGGCTTGTGGAAAGTAAAAGATAATGACTATTATAATAGAGACAAAAGAGATGGAGCATACAGAAAATTATTGAACAAATTAAAGGAAATAGAGCCTGATACAAAGGAGACGTTGGTTAAAAAAAACAACACTTTGAAATCCAATGTTTGAGGGAAGCAGAAGAAAATTGATTTCTCAATAAAATCTGGCGGGAAATTGTTATAACCATAATGGTTCATGTCTTACCTAATTCATTAAGATTGATATGGATAAATTTATTTCTTTCCTACAATCATTCCTTACACCATTGTCTGCGTTTCTTCCGTCTGTTTTCACGTTTCGCAAAAAAGAAGTAAAGGAATATCAAAGAGAAAATACTGAGATCTTTTGAACCAAATCAATGATAAAACAGGGAATTATCTACATAAATACTACCCACCCTTTAGAAAACCAAGACGGTTTTCTTCGATATTTAAATATTTGATAAATAATAAACGTCAAAAACACACAAAAAATATTTTATTAACGGATTGATAAATAATACTGTGCTAATATTTGGAGCCAGTTAATTTAATTCTTAATAATATACTATCTTAATTAATCTATTTGTATACTAAATGTAAGAGATGAACAATAAATTTTGTTCTTACCTGGGAATCGTCGTAATCTGCATAATACACATCGCCAGAAACAAAAACGAAGCGCAGGTGACGTAACAGCGGAATTCTGAATCGGGTTGGCCACGATATTCCTGCTCTTGTTTTCTGTTCCTGAACCACAACAGCGCGGGATGTAGTTCTTCGCTACTCCACCATTTCCTGAAACATACACCAATTTTCTTCTTGAGGAATTACGAGAATGTGCTGAATTATGTAAAGACGATTGTTGTGCCGAGAAACGTCAGTTGGTGCATTATTCAAAAGGGTGGCGAGGTCGGTGATGGATTATTTTTGTTACGAGATATGTGTGCGGACAGGAAGACAGATTTGTCTTACTTATTGTGTTTACTTCCCAGTGAGAACGTTTTACTTTTTTCGGTTATTGAGATTTGATAAAATATTATTTTCCAATATTTGAAAAGAGTAACAATTAATATGTACTTTTAGTTTTGAAAATATAAATATAATAAAAGAATATTACTAGATAATCACCATGCACGTCTAATAGCTCTAAGACTTAAACAACAGTCAGACTTTTAAATATTGTCTAAGACAATATTTAAAAGAATTTTACGTTTTATTACTAGAAAACATCATTTAAATTCATTTGGCATAAACGACGTATACGACATTTTAATACTATTATTATTATTTGAAGAATACTTTGATCATATAGGATGACGCATGGAAGTAATTTTCCAAGAGGGTTAAGGTTTAAACTGTAATTTTGCCAGAGATAAACTATTTGACACATATTGTAGAACACAATAGAAAACTTTGTACTCATATCGGAAAGAATACTCCTCCTTCAACTTGATAACTACCCAATAACAACTAACATTATTTAGGTATATGCCCCTACCGCTGAAAAAACAGACGACATAAGTAAAGCATTCTATAATGAATTATTCCTTGAAATACCTTGAAATACCTATTAGTAGGGGACAATCGGGAGAATTGTCCTCAAAACAAAATATCTATCATCAGATGCTATATATTTTCTACATTTTTATACGGAGTAGGTCATACTAGGTTCATTTCAAATAAAAATGAAAATCTTAAATACATTTTATAAACTAGATATTGGATAGCATTGTTATTGACTCTTTTTTTAGGTTTGTATATTTGTTATATTATTTGTACATGAATATTGTGATTTATACGATAATAAACACTTTTTAGATTAATTCAAACTGCTAACTCTTTGCAAGAATATATTTACACAAACTGTCCTGCTATATCCCACTTCTCGAGTAGTAAATTGTAAAATGCGCCATCTATTTTGATGGCCTTTTTGAGCTGTAAGAAATTTGTAAAAGATTTACAGAAATATATATATATATATATATATATATATATATATATATATATATTTCTGTAAATCTTTTACAAATTTCTTACAGCTCAAAAAGGCCATCAAATATATATATATATATATATATATATATATATAATATATATATATATATATATATATATATATATATAAGGAAGAATGATCACAGCTGTCCAATTATTAATTAGTATAATGATAAGGTTAATTGGGTTAGCAGCTGAATAATGAAAGCCAAAGTGTGCTCTTTTCAACGACTTCGTTATATTTCGTTAAATTTCTTTAACATCTTCAGACGAATGTTGTGTGAGGTTGCAGGCAAAAGTGGTATTTGAAAGTTCCATGTTGAAAAACTTTTTTGAAGATTTTTTTATAAAGCAAAAAAAATATAAGTTGTATGTGTTATATGGTGGCTTGAAAACTCAAACAATACAAGTGCATTTTTGTTATTTTTCTCCAGTGTGATAGTACAATACAAATATTAAAAAACATTGAACATTTAAGAAACAAAACAGTTAAAACACAACTACATATCACATTGTCATTTTTTGGACCAGTCTATTCACCTATGCACAAGGAGGTGAAAATTTAGTGTCAACACACTAAATTTAGTGTCACACTAAATTTTCACCTCCTTGTGCATAGGTGAATAGACTGGTCCAAAAAATGACAATGTGATATGTAGTTGTGTTTTAACTGTTTTGTTTCTTAAATGTTCAATGTTTTTTAATATTTGTATTGTACTATCACACTGGAGAAAAATAACAAAAATGCACTTGTATTGTTTGAGTTTTCAAGCCACCATATAACACATACAACTTATATTTTTTTTGCTTTATAAAAAAATCTTCAAAAAAGTTTTTCAACATGGAACTTTCAAATACCACTTTTGTCTGCAACCTCACACAACATTCGTCTGAAGATGTTAAAGAAATTTAACGAAATATAACGAAGTCGTTGAAAAGAGCACACTTTGGCTTTCATTATTCAGCTGCTAACCCAATTAACCTTATCATTATACTAATTAATATATATATATATATATATATATATATATATATATATATATATATATATATACATATAGTGGTAGTCAGGTGAAATTTGAAGGAAGGTAATAAACAGACGTAGGTTTCTTAACCAGTCATAACAGGTGATGTAATAGTGACAGATGACGTTACAGCGTCACTGTAACAGATCATCTTAAATGGGACCTTATGGCAAGTGATACCTCGTTTGAAATATTCAGTCATAATAATTTTATTTCAGTTTAAGCTCATTTTGATGAATAAATTAAATAAATACTATAAATAAAATTATAGGTTCTCATTTAATTAAAAAATATTTAGTTCTTATAGTGTTTCAAATTTACTTCAACTAATTCCTGACAGTAATGCATCCTATTTCTAAACTATTGCCGTACTCGTTCAAATGTGTCGGGGGAAATTGCCCTATATTCTTTAACAATTCGTTGTTTGAAAATGTTAATATTGTCGGGTGCTGTAGTCTAAACTTTAGATTTTAAGTGTCCCCACAGAAAAAATCTAATGGTGTGAGGTCCGGTGACCAAGCTAGCCATTCTATCGTACCTCGTCGTCCAATCCATCTACCACGATATTCTCGACCTAAGTAACGTCCTACTGCACCATAAATAATAATGTTATTTCCAAGTTGCCGAATTTCAAATATTAACGGTTCAATTGCATTTTGTAACATCTCCAGATACACTTCAATGGTTAAGTTATATGGTTTCCCAAAATACCTGCCCAAACCTTTATTTTTTTTTGGAAATTGAGTATGAGTTTCACGAAAGACGTGAGGATTTGTATCACTCCAATATCTTACATTGTGTGTGTTGACATTTCTATTGAGAGAAAAAGTACTTTCGTCACTAAAACAAATTGTTTTTATGTAATCGGGCTGTTGGTTAATTTTATTGGACATATTTTTACAGAATTCTAGTCTTCAGTCGTGAACATCATCTGAAAGTTGGTGCACAATTTTTAATTTGTATGGATATAATTTATTTTCAGCCAACACTCGGTGCACTGTCTTTTGACTGATTCCATAGATAGTTGCAACTTGAGCTGTAGAAATAGGGTTCACTACCGTTTCTGAAATTATGTCAATCACTAATTGTTGGTCGACCAGATAGTTTGACATCTTGAACACTACCTGTTTGTTTAAACTTCCGAAAAAGCTTCCTCAACGGAGCTCTCGATGTAGAGCTGCATATAAAGGATACGGTACGTATCCTTGGTGCCTTTGTAAAAATTAAAACGTCTCGTTGAACAATAATTAAACTTAATATTAACTAAGAACAACTAACTAAAAACAACTTGACTAAACTTGAATTGACTAAACTAAACAGAAACAGAAACTAAATATTCAGGTGTAAACGCGTTTGCAAACTAAAAACAACTAGAGAATTGACAAACGTTAACTTTTTTAACAAATAACCAAAGGCGGACGTTAGAATTTTTATTAATTAAATGCCAAACTAAAATTTTATTATTTATTTAATTTATTCGTCAAAATCATCTTAAATTCAAATAAAATTAGTATGATTGAATAGGAATATTAAAATATATGTAGTTTCGCATTTAATTAATAAATATTCTAATGTTCGCCTCTGGTTAATTGTCAAAAAGATTGACGTTGACGTAAACACAATTAGAGAATTGAAAAACGTCAACTTTTTGACAAGTAACCACGGGCGGAGGTTTTAATATATATTAATTAAATGCGAAACTACAATTTTAGTATTTATTTAATATATTCATTAAAATGAGCTTAAACTCAAATAACATTAATATGGTTGAATAGGTATTTTCAATACTTTTCAAACAAGGTATCACTTGCTATAAGGTTCTATTTAAAATTATCTGTCACAGTGGCGCTGTAACGTCATCTGTCACTATTACGTCATTTATTATGAATAGTTAAGAAGCCTACATCTGTTTATTACCTCCCTCCAAATTGCACTATTTGAAGTATAACCTTTCAAAAGATACGAGGGGGGAACGGACTTTTGACTAGCAACTAGCTCTTTTAAAAGTTATTTTTATTTATTAAAGAATTTTTGAAGTTATACTTCTATATGCGCGTTCGACGTTGGAAATTTGTACGGGAGATAATCGGCAAAATTATTATATATGTAAGATATAGGTAAGAGAGAGACAGAAGATATATGTTCTCTCTCTTCCTCTCCCGAGAATAAAAATGTTCTTTTTGTAAATATATTTAATATTTATTAACATTATTATTATTTTTCCATTCTGTTTAGATTTGTCTTTAGCCTCATTAGGCCTGTTAAATTATAAATTAAAACTTGTAAATATCTCAAAAAAGTTCAAATCTACACATTTGAACAACACACAACAATTAAATTTTGTACCTGTCAATGTCAGACAAATTGAAAGTTGTATCACAAAACAATATTTTTATTTTATTTATATTATTATTATGGTAAATTAAATATATGCGTAAGTAATTTTGCAGAGTACCTATGTGTAAAAAATTTTTTTTCATTCAACTCCTTTCATACATATATGAAAATAAAAATATACATTTTCATCAAAATATTGATTCAATCCTTCATTTACTATACTCCTATTACAGGTCAAATGTTGTTTATATACAGCAAATGATGCACCATATACCTGTATACCTAATTCTGTTTCTCTTTCGGCTCTCTCTTACCTATAGCATTACATATATGTAATAATTGTGCAATTGACTCCCATATAAATTTGTAACGGCGAACGGGTGTATAGAGGTATAACTTCTACCGGCAGTCCCACTGGACTGCTACACCCGTTTTTTT